AAATGCTATTTTAGCCTGGTTCTTCAAAGTAGCAGAGCCTGGGCAAAGGCTTATGGGCAGTGAGTTTATTTTGAGGAGTAATCTAAAAGAAGAGGATTTGAGACTGCTGAGAGTTAAGAGGGAAGAAAGGAAACCCAATCCAAGGTTTGTTTATCAACTTGGTCACCCTTGTGGGCGGCTGGGACTTGTTCCCACAGGGCACCCTCCAAGAACGTGCCTTAGAATCATCTAGTAGAGAGATAAAATTGGTGGTGGGTGGTGGGTGGTGGGAGGTATTCATTATTCATCTGCTCAACTCCATCCCCTGCTGGTCAAGTGCTGCCTCATTGGTCATTAAGTCTATCACAGGACTGTGCACGGCTCAGAATGGCTCACTGGGTTCCTACAAATGTTCCACGTGGTGGCGGCAGAGAAGGCGCAGTGTGGAAAACAAGCAATGAGGGTGCAACTGAAGTGAGACCCTGTCAGCAAGGGCTGGAGTGAAAAGTTGAGCCAAGAGCCGTGAGGTGGGGCAAAGGTATCCAACACAGAAACATACTAATTACAAAAATCTCTTGCCAGTATTTCTTCTAACAAACCATAACCAGACCTGAATTTTAGTTTACAAAGTTCAAATTTTGACACATTAGAGTCTCTAAGCAAGAAACATGTGTACACATTGAAACAGCTGAGCACCCATATGGGAGCTCAAAGCAGAGTGTCATGCCCCTTCCCACTCCAGGGCCTTTGCACTTATTGTGCCTGCTTGTTCCTTTCTTCTCCCAGATCTTTGCATGGCTTCACAATCGTGCAGGTTTCAGCAGAAATGTTGTGTCCTCAGGGAGACTTTCCTTACTAACCACCCTGCCTTCCACCCCCGACACACACACTCACCCAACTGTGTGCTGTATTTTTTCATTATTTCAGAGAGGATCAACTGTGATTTATCTATGTATTTATGTATTTATTGTCTGTCCCTCCCATTGCTACATATACCACACACACACACACACACACACACACACACACACACACACACACGAATTCCATCAGGGTGGCTTGACAGTAGTATCCCCAGCACCACATGGAAGGAGCTACATCCATACTTGTTGGATACATGGTTTTCATAATTCATCTTCTTTGTTCACTTTTTTCCCTGATGTCTGGTTTTGTCCCAGCCAGCGAAGTCACTTACTAGATGAGGAACTGCCGAGACACTGGGAATTCACTGGACAACATACAGTCCCTCCCCTCCAGTCTCGTAGTCTGTTGAGGAGCTTCCAGGTCCTTTTTATCCCATGCATGATGTGGAACCACTCAAATCTTTTTTAAACAAAATAACAAGATATGGCTTTTAATATTAGAAGTAGACCAGGGAGTCAATTAATGGCAGTATTCTGGTTATCTAATGCTGAGTGACAAACCACCCTAAAACTGAGTGACTTATAACAACGATAATCACTTATTATCTCACATAGTTTCTGTGAGTCAGGGATTTGGAATCTGGTTGGCTATGTGGCCTTTCTCCCGAGAGCCTCCACGCGGCTGCAGCAGGGGAGGCTAGAAGGCAGGGGGAATCGCCTAGAGGCTCGCTCGTTCACAAGTCTGGTGCCTGGTCTGAGACAGCTGGTCTCCTCGGGCACGTCCCTCTCCCTGTGAGGCTGCTCCGTGACGTATTATTTTCCAAAGATGGCTGCACCAACATATATCTTTGGAAAATGAAATCTCCACGGGGAGTGTTGTCATCACAATAACTGCTGACATTTATGGAGATCTTACTGTGGTCCAGGCATTGTGCTAAGTGTTATACACATATTATATTATTTAACCCCTGGCAGGTGTGATTTGTAAGGTAGCCCCTCTTTTATAATGACGCAGCAGAGACTCAGCAAGGTTAAATGACTAGTGTAAGCCAACAAGGGACTTCTGATTAGTGGTGAAAGGGCTGATGGTGGTGGGGGGCGGGGGGGACCCTTGCTTCCAGGGGGAAGTGGAACCATGGGTTCCTTTATTGACTCCTCCGTCAGCAGGTACTGGACAATCCCCTCCACCACCACATTCCCTCCTTTTTCTTCTGAGTATCAATGTATTTTCATTTTGTTCAATTAAATTTCAATGACTTTTTTCCCTACTTCTTTTTCCATTGCAAACAGAAATCATTTTAGTTATGTATTGGGCCTGTGGATTGAAACATAAGTGTCAAGAAAAGGATCCAAGCTGATTTTAAATAAACTTTCTGGATCATAAATTATTGGTATATTGGAATCTTTCATATAGAGAAAGAACACATTTTCTTTTACTAGTGAATCCCAAACTGTTTTGCAACCAGAGGGCACCCTGAGAATCACCTAGGTCAGTGATTTTCAGAGGAGAGTCCTCATCGTGATAGGGAGCAAGAGTATGTTGTAAATGCTCTCCCCACCCCCACTTCTTTCCTCCTGCTTGAGAATGACCTGTCTCCCCCACCCAGAGACGCAGTAGCTCTGATATCCTATTCATTTGAATCTCAGTATTGAGCATCTCTTAGATACTGTGGCTCAGTGTGTGTTTAATGAGTGAAGTCCATTAAGTGTAAAATCTCCCGAACTGCTGATGCTTCTGTGGTTTCCCCCTGAACCTTGGCATCCACTTGTTAGGAATTAGAAACATATTTGGTTTGAGGGCCTCTCCTAAGTGCCTAAAAGAGATAATAAATAAGTATTTGTTGTTTTGGCCTCACAACACTGATTTAAACACTTACCTGCCAAGGAAGTAGAAACATTATTTTCTTTGTTTGGATTCGTATTGCAATTTAGGAAAGAGTTTTCCAGGTTCTTCTCAAGATTATTCATTCATACATTCAATAAATGTTGATTATCTACTAAGTGCTAGATACTGGGGAAATGAATCTACACTAGTGTCTACACCAGACAAAAAGTATCTGCCCTCACAAAGCTTACATTATAATGGATTGAGATACTGAATACGTAATGTATAATTTGTCAGATGATGAGACATACTATGAAGAAAAATAAATCCAGAGAAGGGGAATAGAAGTGTCAGATCATATCATTCTATCCAGTTATGTTCCATGGCTTCCCATCTTCTCCGAGTTGAAGCCAGAATCCTCACAATGGCCCAGAAGGCCCTAAATGCCCCAGCTCCATCTCCCTGACCTCAGTTCCTCTCTGCTTCTTCTCAGCCACACTAGCCTCCTTGCTGGAGGAACCGTGGCCTCAGCATCATTCCTGCTCATGACACTTTCCTCTCTCTAGGCAGCCACTCATCTGTTAGATAACTGTAAGACTAACCCCTGACCTCTTTTTTGTCTTTGCTCAGGTATCATCGTCTCAGTGATGCCTTTGCTGGCACCTTATTTTAAATTTCAGTCCCCTGCTTACCCACCCCTCATCACCCCTAATCGCCTGGAGGTCGCAGCCCAGCAGAGTAGGTGACTGATGCCACCACTTTGGCACAACCATTGGCGGAGCAGCATCACTGGCTTTCCCTCCAGGGGCAGATCTGCCCGCAGGTTGGAGAGCCCTAGCCCTTCTCTGTCCTTCAGTGTTTTTGGGAAAGTTCTCAGGAAAGGCCCTGCCTAATGGCAGCACCATGGGACTCTCCCTGGCCTCTTCAGTAGCATCGATCCAACCCTGAGTTTAATTAGCAAGAATTTCCAGGGTGACATTTGCCCTTGTGTCTTTTATTCTGGCTCTGGGAGCAGGCGGGGCCCACTCACAGAGTGAAGTGCAAATGCAGGAAAGTCAGTGCCTCCAGGAAACAGCCCTCAGTCAAGGAGGATGGTAGCTGATGGGCAAATATCCCAGTTTCCTTGCCCTTTGGATAGGATAACCTGAAGTGTATGCACTAGTTCCCAGAGTTCCCTAAAGGGATTGAGCTCCACTTGCCCACAGCAGTAATTCTCTTGGTGATACCATGGGACTGTACCTCTCATGGACTGAATGTAGCTTCTTGAAATCAAGGGCCTTCCTTCAGATGGATTTTTGACCAGGTGTGTTTGGTATATTTAATCTGCTTCTCCTCCTCTCTGAGATAGTTCTCTCTTTCATCACCCTCTCTGGCTGCCTCATCTGAGTTCTCAGCTTTCAGTTTCACTGGCTCTGCTGACCTCTTATGTATTTCTTGTTTTTGTTCAGAAACTGAAACTGCATCACATACATAGCTGGTTTGTATCTGCCTCATTCCCATTTTATTCAAAACTTAGCCTTTTGTTCCTTGTCTCGCTACCTCTTTCTGGTCTTACAGCATTGAAAGGATCATCTCAGCTTCCACAGGCAAAGTTCAGACTCTGTGATTTCTGTGGCATGATAAACAAGATTGAGAGTGTACTCGTCACAGGTTGGGTTCCCTGGCAGCAGACTCTGAGGTGGAGCGTCGCGTGGAGGCACGGACTTTCCTGAATTTTCACTTCACTCTGTGAGTGGGCCCAGCCTTCTCCCAGAGCCAGAATAAAAGCCACAGGTGTTCAAGAAAGCTGCTCTCAGCACATGAAGGTGAGCATTGAGGAAATAGGAGGAAGAGGAGACAATGCCAGCATCTGCTACAGGGGATTGCCCCACACTGAACTAGAACTCAGGTACCCTGACTACTGCTCAGGGCTCTTTATACTGATTACTGAATATCTTCCTACTCTGTGCCTGAAACTGTTCTAAGTAACCTGGAGAGGAGAGAGGGTATGGAAGGAGCAGGGGATGTAGCCTCCTTTTGGGGAAACAGTCTAATTGGAGGGCCAAGCACACATAAGTATTTGAAAGAACAAGACAAGATTTTTTTGGGGGGGGGGTAAAAAATGCTATAGGTAGGGGGGAAAAAAAGAAAATGAAAACATTAACAAACCCCCAAAACCCGGGAACTCATTTCTCCTGAACAAAGATAACAATTCTGATTGGCCCAGTTTAAGTTGCAGATCCCTCTCACAGACACAGTTTTGAGTTGCACTCGCAGGAGGTCAGAGAGGAAAATCGTTTTGGTGAATGCCCTCGAGATTCCGCAGACTCCTCTGTGCTGGCGATCACGTGTCACTACTCAACGGCAATGTAAGGAAGGGCAACCAGCACGAGGACGGTCCCTCTAGAGGCCACGCCCAACAAGCGGCTGGTCTCCCGCGCGCCCCCAGTCTGCTGCTGGAACACGTCGATGGTGTCCTGGTCCTCCATCTCCAGCTGTGCTGGAGTGTCTGTTTCATTAATCGGTTGCCCGTCAAACCTAAATCTAGTCTGTCTCATTGACAAGCCCTGCCTCTCACAGTAGGCCTTCATCAGCTTGCTCAGCGGGGTGTGCCGCTTGATCTTGAACTGCACCACGGAGCCGTCCTGCCCCGCCACCTTCAGGTTGATGTGATCATTCTCCGTCTTCACGCCCTCCTTGGGCTTCTCCTCGGACATGGCTGCGCGGCGGCGGGAAGGCGCGGCGGGCAAGACAAGATTTTTAAAGCATTCACATAAACATGTGGATGATATTGTATTGAAAGCTGTGCATTGCATTTTGGTTTTTTGTTTTTGAGATACTGAGTCTTGAGCAAAGTCTCAGTGGGAATTTTGAACATGATTGACATGGACTGAGAGGCAAGAGAGCATACTAGTGAAGAGTCGGGGACATTTGGAGTGGGCTATCTAGTTATTCACCCCATCCCCATCACTTAGTGGTGATTGAACAGTAGGCAGATTAAGCCTTGGTTTTCTCCTTTGTAGAATGGGGCCAATAATAGAACCTAATAGGGGTGTTGAGGGCATTCAGTAAGGTAATTGATCTAAAAAGTTAACGCAGGGCTTACCCTGTAGGAGTTTGATAACATTAGCTGTGTTAGTGATTATTGCTGACAGAGGGCAGTGGGAAGGATGGGTCAGGTGGGAGAACAGCCAGGGCTTGGGTAAGCACAAGATTCAAGAAGCAAAAGGAGAAATGCCATGAAGTACCACTCTCGAGATGCTGGGGGAGTGATAGGGAAGGCTTTGTAAAGCTGAGAAAGGCTGCCCACTTAGACCAAATTTTTATGGGAGCTGTGTTAGTCTGCTTTCTGTTGCTATAACTGAATACCTGAGACTGGGTAATTTGTAAAGAAAAGGAATTTATTTTTTACAGTTCTGGACGCTGAGAAGTCCAAGGTTGAGGGGCTGCATTTGATGAGGGCCTTCTCGCTGGTGGGGACCCGTTGCAAAGTCCTGAGACGGTGCAGGGTATCCCATGGTGAGGAGGCTGAGTGTGTCAGCTCAGGTCTCTCTTCCTCTTCTGATAGGGGCCACCAGTCCCCCCAAGACCTCATCTATTCCTAATTACCTCCCAAAGGCCCCGCCTCCAAGTGCCATCACATGTGAATTTGAAGATTAAGTTCTCAACACATGAAATCTGGGGGACACACTCAAACCATGTTAGCAGCATGGGTTCCATCAAAGTGAAACCTTATGGGGAAACCCATTATGTAAAAAAATACGAACAGAGCCACTTGTTTGAAGGTGAAGTGGAGAACTGACTTCTCCCCCGCTCCTTCAACCACCCACAGCCCCTGAGGGAATTCTGAGAATCCCCAAGGCTGCAAGAACAAAACCAATTTCTGTAGAAGGATCTTTAAAAACTCCTATAACACCTCATTTGTTCTATATTGAGTTAGTTTTCCAGAAAAACTTTCTTTTAAAAAACTCATCTTGGATGAAATTTTGCTTAAGTGTGTTACTTTTTTTGCCTTCTTAACAAGGCTGAATGAAAACCTTTTAATCTGTTCTTTATGATTTTTGATTGTAGTAATGAACATTTAGTTACGGTTCTGTGCTTCAGTGTGGTGGTTTCCAACCACAGAGGTTCTGAGGAGTTAGGACTGTTTACTTGTACTGTGCTTTTGAAATTATTACAAGAAGCAGCATGGCATCAGGGGAAGGTCCTGAACTTGAGAGCTAGATTGTCCAGGGTTGTATCCCAGCCTTGCATTTTATTACCATTATGACCTTGGGCAAGTACTTTAACCACTCTTTGCCTCAATTTCTTCTTCTAAAAATTGGGAATAATAATCATACTCAATCCCATAGGGTTATTGTGAGAAATAAATAAGTTTTTATATGTTCATTACTTAGAACAATGCCTGCATATTAAAAGTTCTATGTTAAGTGCTATATTGATGACAATGATGATTATTGATGTATCTGTTTTTATAGTTCTTCTGTCTTCTCCTTTGATATAGCATAATGGTTAAGCCTATGGACTCTGAAGCTAAATAACCCAGATTTGAATCCACCACCATTGTGATCTTGGGAAAGTTAATTTAATTCTCTGTGATTCCGTTTATTCACCTGAAAAATGGAGCTAATGATAAAAATTAGTTCACAGGATTGTTGTGAAGATAAAATAGGATAAACTTTACAAAGCCCTTAACATAGTGTCAGTCACATAGTGTGTGGTCATTGTATATTAACAGTAATCATCATTATTGTTGTTAATTATTGAAAATCTAAATGAGGGATACCGTAATGTAATATAGAGCCAGAAGTTTTTGCTATACTTGACTCCTTAGAAGTCTTTGAAAAATTCCTTCTTGTTACTTAATTGGTTTTAGTTAATAGAGGTTGTAAACTTATTGATTTTAAATAATAAGTATTTTCAATGTGGTTCTTAATGTTAGGACAGGGATGGATGGGCGGAGGGATTAGCCATTTATGCTATATAATACCACACTTATTATCAAACTATGACTCAGAACTTTTAGGTGTATTTATCTTGAAGGACTTAGATCATTCTTTGCTTAGAATGTTGACATGGTTAATACAAGGGGCTATTTTCAAAGGAAGAAAAACAGTAAAGAAATGCGTTGGTGGAAATGACTAGAAATAATATAGAATAGGCTGGAAATTTTCTGATGCAGAAAAATAGAGGCCAAAAGTGATAAAAAGCAAGAAGGCAAACAAACAAAAGATGGTGATTTTGCAGCCTTGGTGGGGATGGGGGACAAGGAGGAATGTTCAGCCACAATCTACCAGCATACCTCTTGTTACTAAGCATTTTAAGGGCTAATTTAGGTCTCTAGAGCATGCAACTATTAAGATTAACCCATTCATGAGAGTTTTGTATAGCCAAGGTTTTGTTGCATATTAAAATGTTTAGAAAAATTATCCAGCATTATCCAATACTTGGAAATAAGGCACAGGGATAAATGCATGTCCTTTCAGTGTTGCGCTAGAACACTGTAAGACATATTGAGCGAAGGATCACATAATTCTCTAGGGATATGTACCTTTGTTTAACTTACTACTTATTAGGATCCGGATTCTGTGATGTTAGATGTTAATTTATGGATTGATAACTTGCAAATGATTTCTGTTTGATAAAGAAGATAATCCCCAAAGGTTATAGTTTTATTGCCCTGTAAGACATTAACCAGTTTTATATCTAAATCAGCAATCTTATTTCGGTATTCTGTCTTTCATTGACTGTATATACTTCAGTCTTTCCTGTAGTCCATTGAACCATACATAGTATCCTGCTGGTTTCCTCATTAATGAGTTAAATAAATTGTTGACACATGCTCAATATATTTGTATAATAGTCATGTCTTTAATTTCTTGAAAACGACATCCTGACAAACCAGCTACCTATTAATGAAAATTTTCTCTCTTACTATTTTTCTACTTGCTCTAATATTTTTGTTTGCTTTCTGTTGTAATTTTGAAATCAAAATATATCTTATAGATCTTTTATTATTTAATATAGGCAATCTATGAACAACAGAAAAGAATGTAAGTAGTTAAAAGTTTTAAACCTGATTGTTTTAAGCTGTTTAATTTTTGTGAACCTAATGATTTCAGTAAGACCCACACATTTCTGAAATGAGTGTTATGCCAGTGTAAGCTAATGTAACACTTTTATGCACTGTTGTATTTTCATAATGTGATTGTACAGCTAGTTGCTGTTTATTGTTGTTGATTGAGTTTGTGGAGCATGACACCACAAAATTGTAGAAATGTTCCAATTCGTGTTACCAGAACTACAAATGAGGTAGTGATAAAATTTAGAGAACATGTTTTTGAATAGTTATTTGCTTTTATAAAAATGAAATTTTTTAGAATTATGGACGTAATGTTTAGCTTGCATACATTTTTGTCAGTTCTTTACTTTTCATAAAATATTCCTACAAGCCTTGCAATAGAAAGAAGGTTATCTGTTAGGGATGCCTTACACAAGATTCCAGCATTGGATGATAAATTGAACTTACGACCTTTAAGGTAGTTGGGATTGTTTAACGTTTTCATAAAAAACTTTATATTAGTCCCTCCTGTTTCTGGTAGAAATTTGCACTCTAGTAACTGTTTTAGATACTCTTAACTAATATTTACTGTGTAGATACTAATTTAATTTAGTTCTAGAATGTAAGCTCCATGATGATAGGGCCATGTTTGTCTTATTCATCATTGTGTTCCAGGCACCTGGCACAATACCTGGTAGATAGTAGGTCCTCAACAAAATATTTGTGGGATGATTGAATGACCACATGCTCATTTTCACTCCATTACAAAGCAACGAATGCATTTAAAACTTGATGATTGACATGATTTCAAATGTTGTAAATGCTGAACATGGTTGGTTGTTTGATCCAGGGCCTCACCAAGCTGCAAGAATCATAAAGACATGGCATATCCTTTAATTTCTCTTACTGGTTATCTGATCTAGCAAACGCTTCCATTCTCTGCAGTGTTTTTTAAAACGTTAGTCTGTTTGGAAATTACTAAACCATGGAATAAATAGTTATGGATGGTGGAATCATTTCTGTCAAGACAAATGTTTGGTTTTCAAGTCTTGAAAGATGAAAAACATGAGAACCCAGAAAATGCTAAGGATAGAAAATAAAAATGAGTTATACGTAGCAAAAGTTCCTCCACTGCTGATTTGTTGTTGCCATGTCCTTTTTCTCTTTCTTCCTCAAATTCCCTTCCCCCCCTCACTGCCTCAGTGTCTTTTCTGAAAAGGAGTATTTGTGGCATTGTTTTGATACTGTATCGGTCACCAAGTGAAGAAATAAAATAAATGCCTTTATCTGGTCACAGTGCCCTGATGTTTAAGTTTTAACTTCTTTCTCATAAGATAACAAAAATGATTTTTCTTAAAATTTAGAATGTATAAGCTATATTTAAATTGAAATATATATATATATATAAACTGTATAGTAAATTTGTAATTTTTATTTACATAGCTTTTTGTAAATTTATGGGTAAACTAAATTATATGTAATGCAGGTTTAGGGTCCTAGTTCTTACAGGCCTGTGAGATTAGATGTGTAAATACAATTATTTTAAACACATCAAATACATTTCTTTCTCTCATTAGAGCCACTGTTGGGCAAAATCTTCATTTCTTTGATTGTCCGTGTCATCCAGCCTTGAGCACAATTGATCCCAAATATTTTGAAAGAATATTGTTGAATGATTT